CAAACAGAATTGACAGCTTCTGGACTCTGAATAAAAGTTGGAAGGAAGAAATAATACAGAAAAAAAAAAGTTGTGATTTACTTCATGGCAAATATCTTTCCAGAAATTTCCTTGTAATAATTGTGAAGTAAGTAGTTTGTTGTTATTGTTAAGTGCTGTTGATTCGGATCCGACCCATAGCGACCCTGTATAGGGTTTCTGAGGAGCAACTGGTGAGCTTGAACCGCTGACCTTGCAGTTCATATAGTAGTATGTTTTTCAGAAGAGAAAAGATCCTAAAGGTTAAATAACTTCCACAAACACTCAGATATTTCTTTTAACAGATTCTCTCTGCATAGATTTACCTATTTTGAATAGTTTTATAAATGGAATCATATAGCACATGATCTTTTGTGGAAGGCTTCTTTCAGTCTTCATAACATGTACAAGGATCAGCCAGCGCCTGATCGCATCTATCAGTATTTCATTTCTTTTATTCCTAAAGTAATAGCCCATTGGGTGAATATACCATATTTGTTTATCCATCTATCAGTGGCTGTATGTTTGAGCTGTTTCCATTTTGAGACTTCTATGAATAACCCTGCAATGAGCATTCATATGCATATCTTTGTTTGTATGTATGTTTTAATTTCTAATGATGAAAAACAGAGCCTCACAAAACAAGAAAACTGCCCAAACCAAAACAACAACAAACCTATGGCCCTTGAGTTTATTCCAATTCATGTTGATACTATAAAACAGACTAGAAAGGGAATAGGAGCAAATATTGTTGAATGATGATGCATGGAGGGGATTGTAATCATTTCAAAGAAAGGAAATATGATAGGATTAAGTGCAAAACTGATGTTCTCCATGTAAACTATCAGACAATTCACAATAAAAGCTTTAAAAAAGATTTCTAAATGTTCTTAATTGCTTAAGTATTTTTCTTTAATCAACTTTATAACAAAACTTAAATTATACTATTTTGACTAACAACTTGTTTCTCCCTCATCAGGTACTAAGATTGTAATAAAGATAAAATAATTGGCAATTTATTCCAAAATCAGCTTTTAAGATATCATGGGGTTACTTAATATATAGCTTAATCTGTTGTTACAAAGGGCTTAATATAGTAACCATAAAATACTAATATTCTAAAACAAGGATTTGAAACTTCACCCAGGTGAAGAAAATACAGCAGACCACTATTATCCATGACACAAATTTGAAAATGACGGTACTTAATAACCATGCCTAAAAATGGCTCTAGTTATGATCCTTCTAGGAAGGTTAATCCGAATTCAGAAAGCAAAGCTTTCATAACATGTACTTGCATCATCTAGGTAGCCTTACCTGAATAACTCAAATTTGCATCTCAGTAAATGTCTACATGTTCTAAATACTCTGAGTTTTAGGCAACAAGCTTTAACTCTACAAATCTTAAATCTGTGAAGCACAAAAATAGCATGGAGTTTACTTTCAGCCCAAATAGTACCCAGTGCAAATTAGAGACTAAATTAGTACAGGGCGTCTTTAGTGTAAACAGTCCCTTTGTGCAATCAGAAAAAGATGTTCCTATACAGATGATCTAGGTCACAGTTTGGCAAGAAAAATTCAGAGTGAATTTTAACTCATACTCTTACCCTAGGAGTCCTGGTGTAGGGCTGCAGGTTAATATGATGGACTGCAAAATCAGTTTTAGCCACAAGTTCAGCAGTGAAAGTTTACCAGCTGCCCCTCAGAAAACCTATACAGGGTTGCTATGGGTCGGAATCGACTTGACGGCACTTAACAACAATAAGTCTTACCCTATGTGTGCATTGCAGTGATGACACTGTATTATGCACTAAAATTTACCTAGCAATACCGGTATGGCACACCATACCATAAACACTGGACTGCTAACCCACCAGTCACTCGTCAGAATCCCTTTACAGTGACACTATGAGTCAGAACCAACTTAATGGCTCTTAATGACAACATTCCAGTAATAATATGTTTCTCAAACTGTGATCCTAGAATACCTGCAGCTTCCACAATCTCACTAACAACTAAATATATCTCTGAGGGCAAAATTAATAAATCATTTTAACATGATTGTTACAAACACTAAAGCTTAAGACCACAAACAGCATAAAAGTAGTTATTTTGTCCATCTTGCTTATAGCTAAATTTCCTGTGCTTGACCTACCCTAAAGCACTGCAGTTTATTCACAGTTATTGTACACACAGAAAAGTGGTAGAATTAAGTTGAGAACAAGGAATCTGCATGCTAGCTTTGTATGTTACTAGCTGTGTGATGTGGGATAAGTTATTTAGCTTTTTTGTGCTTCCATTTCCTTTCATATAAAATAGGGATAATTAACAGAATCTATAGTGTGACAAAGATCTGGAAACAGAAAACCAAGAAGAACACGCTCAGCATTTCTCAAGCTGGGGGAACTGAAGAAAAAATTCAAGCCTCAACTTCCACTACTGAAAGATTTTCTGGGCAAAGTATTGAATGATGCAGAAAGCATCAAGAGAGGATGGAAGGAAGACAGTGTCACTGTACCAAAAGGAAATGGTTAATGTTCAACCATTTCAAGAGGTAGCATATGATCCAGAGCCAATGATACTGAAGGAAGGAAGTCCAAGGAGCATTGAAGGAATTGGCAAATAACAAGGCACCAGAAATGAATGGAATCAAAATTGAAATCTTTCAAGAAAGTGAGGCAGAACAGGAGGCACTCACTTATCTATGCCAAGAAATTTGGATGACAACTATTTAGCCGACTGATTGGAAGAGATCTGTATTTGTGCCCATTTCAAAGAGAGGTGACCCAACGGAATGCAGAAATCATTGGACAATCTCTTTGATATCCCATGTGAGTAAAGTTTTGCTAAAGGTAACATAGAAACGGCTACAATCATACATTGACAGAGAACTTCCAGAGGTTCAAGCTGGATTCAGAAGAGGCCGTGGCACGAGGGATATCACTGCTGATATCCAATGGATAGTGGCTGAAAGCAGAGAATATCAGAAAGATGTTTACCTGTGCTTTACTGACTACACAAAGGCTTTTGATTGTGTGGATCATGACAAGCTATGGATAACATTGTAAAGTATGAGTAATCTGGAACACTTAATTGTGCTCAGAAGAAATCAGTACCTGGACCAAGAAGCAGTTGTTTGAACAGAACATGTGAACACTGAATGGTTTAAAATGAAAAAAAGTGTGCAACAAGGTTTTATTCTTTCACTGTACTTAGGCAATCTGTATGCTGAGCAAATAATCCCAAAAGCTGTGTTATATGAAGAAAAACATGGCATCAGTATTAGAGGAAGACTCATTAACAACCTGTGATATGGAGATGATACAACCTTGCTTGCTGAAAGTGAAGAGGACTTAAAACATTTACTGATGAAGATCAAAGAGCACAGCCTTCGGTATGGATTGCATCTCAATGTAAAGAAAACAAAAATCCTCACCACTGGACCAATAAACAACATTCTTATCAAAGGAGAAAAGATTGAAGTTGTCAAAGACTTCATTCTTCTTGGATCAACTATCAACACTCACGGAAACAGCCGTTAAGAAATCAAACGACGTATTGCATTAGGCAAATCTGCTGTATAAGAACTTTTTAAAGTGTTGAAGAGCAAAGATGTCAGTTTGAGGACTAAGGTGCGCCTGACCCAAGCCATGGTAATTTCAATAACCTCATATGCTTGCGAAAGGTGGACAGTGAATACAGATGATCATAGAATTGATGCTTTTGAGTTATGGTGTTGGAGGAGAATATTGAAAGTGCCATGGGCTGCCAAAAGAACCAACAGATCCATTTTGGAAGAAATGCCTCCAGAGTGCTCCCTGGAGGCCAGGATGGTCACACTTCGTCTCTCATACTTCGGATATATTGTCAGGAGGGCCCATTCATTGGAGAAGGGTATCATGTGTGGTAAGGTGGAGGGTCAGAGAAAAAGAAGAAGACCCCAATGAGATGGACTGGCCAAGTGGCAGCATCGATGGACTCAAGCGTGGCAACAGTAGTGAGGTTGGCTCAGGATTGGGCAAGTGTTTTGTTCTGTTGTGCATAAGGTCGCTATGGGTCGGTACCGACTTGATGGCAACTAAAAACAACAACAACATATGTGGCGCTGTGGGTTAATGCTCCAGGCTGCAAAGCCGTTTGAACTGCGAGGTCAACATTTCAAGCTCACCAGTCACTCCTCAGAAACCCTATACAGGGTCACTATGGGTCGGAACTGACTTGACAGCACTTAACAACATATTGTCGGATAAGGCACTATGGGTTAATGCACTGGACTGCAAAGTCAGTTGAATTGCAAAGTTGGTGGTTCAAGCTCACCAGCTGCTCCTCAGAAACCCTATACAGGGTTGTTATGGATTGAGACCAACTTGACCATGCTTAACAACAACATCTAACCACAAGGCTGGTGGTTCAAACATATCTGCTGCTCCAAGGAAACCCTATACAGGGTCACTATGAGTTGGAACTGACTCTACGGCACTTGATTACAATGACAACCTCAAGGATGTTGTGAAGATTTTAGATGACAAATTTAAAATGATTAAGAGAAAACCCTCAACACCTGTTTATTATTATATTATTCTAGCTTGCCTAAGAATTTCCATAATCATAAGTATAAAGATTTTTTTTTAACTAAACAGCTTTTTAAAAATTGTATTTTAATTTGCATACCTTGGGAGTTTCCTGTATATAGGTGGTGGTGGGATTGAGGGAATCCTGATGTGGTGGTGCAGGATAAACACAGGACTGCTAACCACAGGTTAGTGGTTCAAACCAAACAGCCCCTCCTCAGAAACTACACAGTCTCTATGAGTTAGAACTGACTGTACAGCACTTACCACAGGTGCTGTGGAAGAAAGCCTTAGAGAGACTGATTTCCTTCTCTAATATCAAAATTTGAAACCCCACTACAATACAGTTCAGAGTCCATTCATTGGCAACTGGTAGTAATAGCACACGTAAAAGTCTACAAAACTACTTACTGGATCCATTAAAAACACTCGAGAAGCTGCAGAAAGATTCAAACCAACTCCACCTGCTTTCAGAGACAGAAGCATTATCGTTGGAGAACCTGCTTCAGTATTTTGAAAACACTGAATTGATTCAACTCTTTTCTTTTGGGCCATAGAGCCATCCAAACGAGTAAATACAAATCCAGAGGCTCTAAATGGGGGACAAAAAAGGGACAAGTTGCATTCACTATACCATAAAAACATTAATTATAAATGTTTTCATTTAATTTTTTCTCATTTAACAAATGTTTACCAAACACCTATTAGTCTTAATCTTTAAAATATTGTCCAGCTAGAAAATATTCTTTATTACTATTCTGAATACTATTTTACTTTTTAAAAACTAGCAAAATATTCAACAATTATGCATTTTTGCTATCAAAACAAAAACAAAATTACTTCACTCAAAATGAGAAACATTATTGAACTTACTTAAGTGGCGTTTCTATTAAAGAGAGGAACGTTGTAAACTGAGAGACAACCAAACTTTTTATGTTGGGATTCTTTGTTCTTAAGTCAATCAATGCATGCATTAAAGCATTAATCTGAAAAACAATTAGAACTCATTATTCCATTTGAATTGAATTTGTAAACGTTCATTATATTATGATATATTTCTCTAAACACACTGTTGTTGTTGAGTGCCGTGGAGTCGGTTCCGACTCATAGCGACCCTGCACAGGGTTTCCGAGGCTGTAAATCTTTACGGGAGCAGAACGCCTCATCTTTCTCCCGCGGAACCGCTGGTAGTTTCGAACTGCTGACCTTGCGGTTCACAGCCCGATTCGTAAACACACTAAGACTTACTAATTAAAACTATAATCAAGACTGAAAGAATATTATAACAATCTGATCTCTTTTTCTCTCCTTCCAAATTCATTGCTAGAAGTGAAAAGTTAGTACCTACCAGTATAGCATAATGATCAAATGACAGGATTAAAAATCAAGTTACTTTTATACAAAGTATATATTTCTTCACATAAACCCAAAATAACCAAATATTTATTTGTACATATGCATTTTACCTTTGAACTGGATGTCCATTCCATATTACTCTTTCTGTCAGTGCTGGATGCTAATTCTTCTGGAGGACATTGTAATAAATTGTTTCCATCTATGTTATTTCTGCATAAAGGGCATTTAGCATTAGGCTGTACAAGAAAGAACAAAATATATGTGATTTTGTTCACAGAAACAGAAATATAAACATGCCTAAAAATTTTGAGAAGTAAATTCAATATTCCTAATAACTTGCATGTGACTAACTAAACCTTTTATTACACTAATACATTTGAAAAAACCTATTTAAATGTTGAAATTCAAAATGAACTATTGTAGCGAGCGGGATCATAAAGGAGGGAAGAAAAATATGTGATACTGAAAAGTAATAGGAGCTTGAAACAGTAAATATCCATTTGCAGACAAGTAAAAAACCATAAGTAACAGTGTCTTGAACCTCAAGGCAATACATCACACTATTTCAGAATTATTTTTTCCTAATGTCACATATAAGGAGCTCTGGTAGCATAGTGGTTACGAATTGGGCTGTGAACCGCAAGGTCAGCAGTTCAAAACTACCAGCTGTTCCTCAATAGAAAGATGAGGCTTTCTGCTCCCGTAAAGATTTACAGCTTCGGAAACCCTGTACAGCGTCGCTATGAGTCGGAGAAGACTTCACGGCACATAATCATCACCAATGTCACATATAAGGAGCTCTGATAGCGTAGTGGTTACAAATCAGGCTACAAACCTGAAGGTCAGCAGTTTGAAACTATCAGCTGTTCTGTGGGAGAAAGATGAGGCTTTCTGCTCCCGTAAAGATTTACAGCCTCGGAAAGCCTATACAGGGTCGCAATGAGTCGGACCGACTCGATGGCACATAACAACAACAACAACAACGTCACATAAAAGGCGCTCTGGTAGCGTTGTTGTTGTTGTCAGGTGCCATCGAGTCGGAACCGACTCATAGCGACCCCATGTACAGCAGAACTTAACAATGTCTGATCCTGGGCCAACTTCACTACCGCTGTCACACTTGACACCATCAGTGATGCCACCTGGCTGATCCATCTCGTTGGGCCTCTTCCTCTTTTTCTCTGACCCTCCATCTTACCCAGCATGACATCCTTCTCCAGCGACTGTTCTCTCGTGACAATATGTCCAAAGTATGAGAGACGAAGCTTAGCCATCCTGGCCTCCAAGGAGCACTCTGGCTGCACTTCTTCCAAAATAGATCTATTGGTTCTTTTGGCAGTCCATGGCACTTTTAGTATTCTCCTCCAACACCACAACTCAAAGGCATTAATTCTTTCATGGTCTTCCTTATTCACTGTCTAGCTTTCACATCCATATGAGGTTATTGAAAATACCACGGCTTGGGTCAGGCGCACCTTAGTCCTCAAGCTGACATCTCTGCTCTTCAATACTTTAAAAAGTTCCTGTGCAGCAGATTTGCCCAATGCAATACGTCGTCTGATCTCTTGACTGCTGCTTCCACAAGTGTTGACAGTTGATCCAAGAAGAATGAAGTCCTTGACAACTTCAATCTCTTCTCCATTGATAAGAATGTTGTTTATTGGTCCAGTGGTGAGGATTTTTGTTTTTCTGACACTGAGATGCAACCCATACCGAAGGCTGTGTCCTTTGATCTTCATCAGTAAATGTTTTAAGTCCTCTTCACTTTCAGCAAGCAAGGTTGTATCATCTGCATATTGCAGGTTGTTAATGAGTCTTCCTCCAATTCTGATGCCACGTTTTTCTTCATAGAACCCAGCTTCTCGTATTATTTGCTCAGCATACAGGTTGAATAAGTATGGTGAAAGAACACAACCTTGTCGCACACTTTTCCCAATTTTAAAACATTCAGTGTTCCCATGCTCTGTTCGAACAACTGCTTCTTGGTCCAGGTACAGATTCCTCAGAAGTACAATTAAGTGTTCTGGAATACTCATACTTCTCAATGTTGTCCATAGTTTGTCATGATCTACACAATCAAACGCCTTCGCGTAGTCAATAAAGCATACGTAAACATCTTTCTGATATTCTCTGCTTTCAGCCAAGATCCATCGGACATCAGCAATGACATCTCTCGTTCCCCGGCCTCTTCTGAATCCAGCTTGAACATCTGGAAGTTCTCTGTCAATGTATGATTGTAGCCGTTTCTGTATTACTTTCAGCAAAACTTTACTCGCTTGAGATATCAAAGAGATTGTCCGATGATTTCCGCATTCCATTGGGTCACCTCTCTTTGGAATGGGCACAAATACGGATCTCTTCCAATCAGTAGGCCAGATAGTTGTCTTCCAAATTTCTTGGCAGAGATGAGTGAGTGCCTCTTGTGCTGCCTCACTTTCTTGAAAGATTTCAATTTTGATTCCATCAATCCCTGGTGCCTTGTTCTTTGCCAATTCTTTCAATGCACTTTGGACTTCCTCCCTGAGTATCATTGGCTCTTGTTCATATGGTACCTCTTGAAATGGTTGAACATTAACCATTTCCTTTTGATACAATAATTCTGTGTATTCCTTCCATTTTCTCTTGATACATTCTGCATCATTCAATAATTTTCCCAGAGAATCTTTCAATAACAAAAGTCGAGGTTTGAATTTTTTTCTTCAGTTTCCCCAGCTTGAGAAATGCAGTTCTCCCAGCTTGAGAAATGCTGACCGAGTTCTTCCCTTTTGGTTTTCTAGTTCCAAATCTTTGCATATTTTATTATAGTACCTGGTTTTGTCTTCGAGCTGATCTTCTGGTCTTTGGTCTTTACTGTTTAATGCATCAAATCTGTTCTTCAGATGGTCTCTAAATTCAGGTGGGATAAATTCAAGGTCATATTTTGGCTCTCGTGGACTTGTTTTCATTTTCTTCAGCTTCAGTTTGAATTTGTATATGAGTAATTGATGGTCTGTTCCACAGTCTGCCCCTGGCCTTGTTTTGACAGATGATATTGGAGTTTTTCCATCTTCTCTTTCCATAGATGTAGTCAATTTGATTTCTATGTGTTCCATCTGGCAGCGTAGTGGTTACAAATCAGACTGCTAACCTCAAGGTCATCAGTTCGAAACTACCAGATATTCCAGGGTCTGGCGTAATGCTCCCGTAAAGATGTGCAGCCTCGGAAACCCTGTGCAGCGTCACTATGAGTCAGAACCAACTCCACAGTACTTAACAACAACAACAACGTCACATATAAAGTTGGTCAAGATCTGTTAAATTCTAGCAGATTCACTGAACGCAACATCTTTCATATCCATTTTTACCCAAAAGTTGCTAATAAAATTCTATCTGAGTTATATACTTTGCTCTATTTTCACACATGCATAAAAATAGTATCTTAAATAACTAGAATAACAAACATCACTATAATAAAGATTCTGAGCCTAAAACAATGTTAGAAGTCAATATATACAGTGTGTTACACATTAGGGGGAAGGAAGACATTAAATGACTGGGAGAAGACATAAGGAGACTCAAGTAGTAGTTACATGTTGTTGTTGTGAAGTGCTGCTGAGTTGGTTCCGACCCATAGCGACCCTGTATAGGGTTTCCAAGGAGCAGCTGGTGAGCTTGAACCACCAACCTTTCAGTTCAAATGGTTTTGTAGTCTGGCGCATTAACCCACAGCGCCATACTAATAGTTACATGGATGTGTTTTATTTCATGATAATTCACTGAGGTAAACAATGATGAGTTGTGCCATTAAAAAATATATATATATGCAGTGTCATATGTAAATTATAAAGGATAAAAGAAAATTTCTTCTTTAGCTAAAGAGCTGCTAAAAGAATTATTTCACTTCACAAAACCTCTAACAAAAAAAAGAATCTCTACTATGTAATACAATAGGCAACAGCCAGATATAGTCATTAAGCCCTTGAAATGGGACTGGACCAAATTGAGGTGTCTTGCAAGTACACAACATCTGCCAGATTTTGAAGACATCGTTTAAAAAAAAAAAAAAAAAAAAAGGCTTAAAAATCAATAGTTTACATGCTGACTACATGTTTTATGGTAATATATTACTCATACTGGCTTAAATGAGCTTTCTGTTCCTTCAAAGAGTTACAGTCTTAGAAAATCCTATACAAAGTCACTTTGAGTCTGAACGGACTTAACAGCACTTAACAACAACATTACAATGTTTAATTTGCTTTAAATAAATGTGGCTGCTATAAAATGTTAAATTATCTAGTGTCTCACAGTATGGATCTTATTTATTAGGCAGCAACAATCTAAACTATTAGTGGAATCACTATACTTCCAAAAATGAATTCTTTATATGTTAAAAACGGCTTATTTATAAGAAATGTATCACTTAACACTGGAAAAATTCGCTATAAAACTTTTTATTAAATTTAATTGTAGAAAACGCCTTTCAGTTCCTTTATTGTTGTTGTTTATGTGCCGTGGAGTCAGTTCCGACTCATAGCGACCCTGTGCAGGGTTTCTGAGGCTGTAAATCTTTACGGGAGCAAAAAGCCTCATCTTTCTCCCACGGAGCTGCTGATAGTTTCGAACTGCTGACACTGAGGTTAGCAGTCCGATTAGTAACCACTATGCTACCAGAGCTCCTTAAGTAGGGTTTTTATTATATTCAGACAGGTCCATTACATTCAAAACTAACCTGCTCATTCTGAATGACCTGGCAAATACAAGGTTTACAAAATACATGTGCACAGTGTGTTATCACAGGAACTGTTAAAGAATCCAAGCAAATTGCACACTCTTCGTCAGAACCTGAGCTCAGAATTAACTTCATCTTCCTTATCAATGTCTTTCGCAGCTCTTCAGGTGTGTCATTTCCTAGAGACAAAAATCTAAAAGTTAATGTTAGAACAACATTTTAAATAAGATTAGACAAGTTCATCTATCTTAAATATGGAAAAGTTTTGCTTGCCAGAACAGTCTTACAGTCTTTCTCTACCAATAAGCAAAATGCATGGTTTAAATTTTAAGAAAAATTCAGAAGCAAAAATATTTAACTACTCACATAATATACCTCACACAGAAGAATCATAACATGATCTATACTTGTACTGAATAAAACAGTTCAGGTATGGTGCTAGAGGATAAGCACTGGACTGCTAACTGCAAAGTCAACATTTCAACAAACCAGCCGCTCCTTAGAAACTCTATATTTTGCTGTGAGTCAGAACTAACTCAACAACACTTAACAATAACAAAAGCACAGAATATATAGTAAGCAAGTCCAATTTGAATATTTTGTCCAAGAGTATCAATATCAAATCACTGGAAATCCTGGAAAGACTACAATTAATTCCATTTAACTGGTAAGAGAATCAATAAAAGTTCTTGGGTATTTTCCTAGTTCAGTCCTATACTAAGACTAATGCCCATTTTACACACACAAACACACCTTAAATACTAAGTCATATTAAAAAGTTCTCATTCTAATTATAAATAACCAACATAATAGTATAAATCCATCACATTTAGTTACCTGTGGGACCACTAGAAGAAACTGCATTTGTAAGAAGATGAGTATGACAACAAATCTGCCGTAATCTAAGCAAAAGACCCAAGACATCTGCATAGTGTGCCAGGACAGTACCTTCATTAAAATACCTAGAGAAAAAAATTCCAAATGTTAAAACATTATTGCCTATTCTAGAACAGTGAAGTAGCAATGGCACTGTTCTTGTCTCTGACAATAGCTCCAAAATACAAAAAAAAAAAAAGAAAGCACACTATCTTTAAAAAAAAAAAAAAGGACATTTGAAATAATAAAGCACACTATATGATGAATTGCTGCCAAGTGTAATAAAAGCTGGACAGGAAGACAGTAAAAGAAAAACAAACACTTTCTCAGACAAACTAAAATTGAGGGACTCTGACACTAGCAGAACTGCCTTGTAAGAAAGGTTAAAAGAAGTTCTTTAGAGAAGAAAAATTATGTCAGAAACTCAGCACTACATAAAAAAAGGAAATGTGTTCAAGTAGGAATAAATGAACTTAAAATAGACTTTTAATGTTCTCATTCATAACTGACCTAGCAATAATTTGTTTAAAGTAATAACAGCAACAATATATTGGATGACAATTTAGAGATAAGTCAACTGTATAACAACAATGTTATAAGAGATGAGAAAAATGAACCAAGAATGCTTTCTTATAGCTCACCTATCTATACTACTCATACATAAAACAGTATAGTAGTTGGAAGAAGACTTTAATTATAAACGTGTATAGTGGTTACGAATCGGGCTGCGAACCTTAGGGTCAGCGGTTCGAAACTACCAGCCGCTCCGCGGGAGAAAGATGAGGCTTTCTACTCCCGTAA